CTGCAGCCAACGCAACTGACTTTACCTGATCACCAGTCTCTGCTGCCCCAGAAACCGGAGATCTACTGTAATAAGGTTTCAAAAGATTAATGTGACAGAGTTGCGTATTACGCCTTCGGTCAGGAGTTGAAACTAGATAATTCAAGTCCGACACTTGCCGAATAACTGTATAGGGACCGGTGAATTTAGCAAGAAAGGGTGAACCGGCTATTGGCAACAGCGCCAGAACCTGATCCCCAGGGCTGAATACTCTCTGCTCAGCTCGGCGATCATACCAACTCTTCATTTTCTTCTGAGCCTTAGTTAGATTTTCTACAGCCATCTCACAAGCTAAGAACAATTTCCGGCGAAAGCCGTTCACATACTCCAACAAGTTAGAAGGACTCTCAGGACACTTCAGCTTATCCTGCAGGACAGCTAATGGCCCACGAACTCTATGGCTGAACACCAAATCATTAGGTGAGAAACCTGTGCTTTCCTGTGTTACCTCACGGGCTGCAAGCAACAACCAGGGAAGCCCTTCCTCCCAGTCTTTGTTGAGCTGAACGCAGTAACCTCTAAGCAATGACTTGAGCGTCTGGTGAAAACGCTCCAGAGAACCTTGACTCTGGGCGTGATAAGCGCTACTAAGGTGATGTTTAACATGTAGCTGTTTAAGCACTTCTGAAAACATATGCGATGTAAAATTAGAGCCCCTGTCACTCTGAATACTCTGAGGGATGCCAAAGATGGAAATAAACTGAGAGAGAGCCTTCACCACCGACTTTGTTGAAATTGTACGTAAAGCATAGGCAGCTGGGTAACGGGTGGCCTGATACATCACAGTCAAAAGGTAAACACACCCTGACTTAGATGGAGGCAAGGGTCCAACACAGTCGATTAACAAATGCTCAAATGGGTTCCCTAAAACTGGAATCGGGTAAAGTGGAGCTGGCTTGATCACCTGATTAGGCTTTCCTGTTAACTGACATGTATGACAGGTCTTAATGAAGCATGCCACGTCCTTCTTCAGGCAAGGCCAATAGAAGTACTTCATAAGTCTGTCATACATTTTCCGCACCCCCAAATGGCCCGCTATATCACCATGAGCCGTCTGAAGTATCAGGTCTCTAAACTTCACTGGAACTACTATCTGAAAAACAGGATCCTCAAATATCTCTTTAGTCTGGGGCATCCACTTACGAACCAACAGCCCATCTTGAACAAAGTAACCCCTTGCTGCACTATGTTGCTCCTCAGCAGGCAGAACCCCAGCAAACAGTTCACTCAAGGTTGAATCCTCTTTCTGAGCTACAGCAAAATCACTAATAGACAGAGAAGATGGCAAATCGGGCAAAACAATAGGCTGTAAATCAGGCTTACGATTTTTCTCTAGAACTTCAGTTCCAGAAACACGGTTCATAGCACGTGTTACTGCACAAGCAGTAAACACCTCAGGTAAGGTCTGCAGGCTACAATCAATACCTGATGGGTTAGATGGAACACTCTTGACCACCACAGGAGGTGGTACATCACGCCAAACCCGCTCTCCAGCCAAGTTATTTCCCAATATGAGATGTACGCCATCTACAGGCAACGAATGGCGCACGGCAATGGCAACCTCACCCCGAACCAGGTCTGACTGTAGCTCAATCCTATGCAGAGGAACAGTTACAACCTGCAACCCAATTCCCCTCACTAAAACATGACCAATGCTGGACTCAGTAGAAAAAGGCAAAACAGACTCCAGAAGAAAAGACTCACAAGCCCCCGTATCTCTAAGAATTTTAACTGGCACCCTTTCAGAACTGCCCACCAATGAAACGAAACCATCTGTAATGAAAGAAGAGTAATCATTGACATTGGCTTTAATTACATCAGACCCGCTATACTGGCTAGAACCCACAAGGCTGTCCTCGGACAAGTTAGAGGCCACACCCCCTTCAGAGTTTGACTTAATCTCTGTGTGGATGAACTCAGGCCGTGCACGCACATCAGAAACGGCAAGGGCAACAGGTCTTGCCGTGCCAGATTTGTTCCTCTGGCCCTTTGCTCTCAAAACTGGACACTCGTTCTTCCAATGCCCCTTCTCTAAACAGTAATGACAAGCATCCGGATCTGCCCTACCCCGAGACTGCTCTTTGGCAACAGACTGACTAGCGGAAGTATTAGACAATACTGAACGTTCACTGAAACGTCCAAAGCGCTGCTCGCGGTAGCCCCTTCCTGAATTGTTTTCTTTAAAATTTTGCCTGTGCGTTAAAACATATTCATCAGATAAAACTGCAGCATCTGCAGCTGTTTTTACCTTGCGCTCATTTATATAAACCGCGATTCGATCAGGGAGGATGTTTCGAAATTGCTCCAAAACAATTAAATTACACAACTCTTCAAAGGTAGAAACGCCTACTGCAGCGCACCAACGATTGAAATGACAATTCAGCTCTCTTACTACCTCTGTATAAGTCTGCCTTTCTCCCTTCTTCCAATTACGAAATCGCAGTCTATATGCTTCCGGAACTAACTCATATACTTTAAGCACAGCATCTTTCACGCTTTTATACATCTTTCTTTCAGGCACCGACAAAGCAATAAACGCCTCCTGCGCTTTTCCAACTAGAACGCTCTGGAGTAACAACGTTCGTTCAGAATCACTCCAACCACGATCATCTGCAACACTTTCAAACAGTGAAAAAAACACGTCCGGATCCTTCTCATTAAACCTGGGTAGCAATCTAGCCATATTAGAGATATCAGGAGAGCGTGCTGGTATAGTCGGAACATCGCCACCAATATCACCATTAATTTTCCCTTCTGCTATCAACCTAAGACGTTCTAAAGCAATTTCTTGCTCACTTCTGTTTTTATCATATTCTAATTGACGTATAGCTTCTCTCTCCCTACGTTCAGCCTCTCTCTCTCTACGTTCTGTCTTACGTTCAGCTTCTCTCTCTCTTTGTTGCATTTCGAACAACTCTTTTTGTTGCTCAAATGTAAGACCAAACTTACTGCGAGACTCACCCAACGTTGTCAGTGGTGTTGATGCACCTTCAGGCTCCAACTCATCCACTGAAACCGATGGAAGGATTTTTCTTTCAGCCATTTTAATTCTAACAGCCTGCCTTAACTGCGCCAATTTCACACTTCTTTTCAAGCCCAATTCAAAATTATAATGTTCGCTAACCTCACACAACTGCTCCTTAGTCAACGTATCTAAAACCTGATCTGATGGAGCCGCAAAAAATCTATCCAAAGTATCCATATCCATTTATTTACTCTGCCCTTTTCCTTAACCCCTAACGAAGAGAGAGAATAAAAAATACATATACAATACATAAATATATATATATTCTTTTTCTCTTCTCTTAAGCACAGTTATCAATGTAAGTGCGGCCAACTGCAGCTACAAGACAAAAAAAAAACGAACAAAAAGGAGCTACCCTGCACCGATCCACTTCATGCATACCCCAAGAACAGAGATTTTTAATACACGATATCAGTGGCACCTAACTTCCCCGACAAAATGCCGTTAAAGCAGGTAACCACGACTGTGCCCTCCGTCCAGGATATTGCACAAAAACAACAAACTAAAATAACAAACAAGCGTTAAGCGCTTAGCAGGGATTTAAAGCTCCAAAGACTACACATTTATTTATCAATTTTTCTTGTCTCGCAAATACTGCAGTGAAAGCCCGCACCCACCCGACAATAAACCACCCTATACCCTGGCTGTATTTAAAAAAAAAAACCCAGGCAGAACGAACAAAATTTGTCTCCCGCACCGTCGGACTAAAAACAAAATAACAATTTCAAAACCGAACCTAATTAAACTAATCCGTGTTTGTCTTTCCCAAGAACCATACATTAAATGCCCAATCAACCTTACTGAGGCGGATCACCGTAGAATCCGAATAGCCTACAGTTTACAAATTAGGCACATTAATCAAAACGACCAAGACATAACTACTCAAACCTAATTGAAAACAAAAAACAAAAAAAAAACGATGCATATTTACCGATTGATGGTTCAAAATCCCGGACGAGATCCCCAAATCTGTTACAAGCCTGGCTCAAAGCAAGCAACAGAATACAGGGAAAGTCCACACACGGAATAGTTTACGAGATTTATTAAATTAATAGAATTATAACAGAATAAACTTGCACAGCCAGTAAAAAGATTGGCTTTTAAACAAAATGAAAACGAAAGCAACAGTGTAATGAAATGAAAAGAAACCAAAAACAAAAATCCTAAACGGTGCGGGAGAGATGCAAGGAAGGCTGGCGCTCTCGCTGGTCTCATCTGAGGCGTCTTTAAAGGCTGCGATCAGGAACCAATTACCACAACTCCAAACACCTGCGCCCAGCTCACCTGTAGGAGACACAGCACACAGCCAGGAGGAGGAGCCAGGCAAGGCCGTGACAAGACCCTCTGCAGGACTTCTTTCTCTGATCCCTTCTTTTCATTGACCATTATCTGGAGACTCAAAAGTTCATTAGAATGAGGTCTTTTCAGTTTTCTTTGGCTCCATGAAATTGTTTTCAGCACCTCCTTTGTTGGCACCTCATCCCTGCACCCAGACTGCATCACCATATCAGGGAGTTTTTGAATGGAATCCAAGTATAAACTTCTGGGTAGTTTTGTTTCCAAATCTTCTCCAATCGATGTGCGTGCATCTGCACGCACTGGCCTCCTTTTTAGCTCATTGGTACTGTGGCACAGCTCGCCTCCTGTGAACACCACGGCTGCCTTCAGGGTGACCTCATCTTTGACTTCCACAGTAACATTAATTGGGCAATTTTCAAACCAACAGTAGCCATTGCATTTGAATAGTGGTGTGGATTTTAGAGACTGGAGGGTTTTTACAGAGTGGCGTTTAAAACCAAAACTGCAATATGGGTGAATAGAGCGAATTCCTCTGGCAATCACGTTTGTCCACTGCAGTCCTTGAAAGCATCTCCCTTTTTGATGCTTCCTCAGGTCTTGCCATTCTTTTTTGTCAATAAAAAAGAAACATGGCTCTTGTGGCAAACTTACTTACTTAAGCCCACCGCCCAACTTTGGCCATAGGCCACGAACAAGGGCTCTCCAGTCATCCCGATCCTGGGCCAACTTCTCTAGCTGTCCCCATGTGTGGCCAGACCTCTTCACATCTGCATCAAGGTCACGGCGCCAGCTATTCCTTGGCCTGCCTCTCTTCCTTTTCCCTTGTGGGTTCCAGAAGAGGGCTTGTCTTACAATACTTGTGGCAAACTACACCTGAAGAATGTATCATCTGGCTCACTGTTCTCTGTCCAAGTTGATTCACCCAAGTCTGATTCCTTGTCACTATCCTGTAACACAAAAATAATTACAATTAATTGTTTTTGATTGAAATAAGATTTGCAGGCTTTTACTATTAAACAGATGAATTGTATTATTTTGATAAAAATATTTTTTTTTTACTGTTGAACCTGTAAGATAGATATCTATGTTATACTGTATGTGTTATAATTTCACATTTCTCAAAGAGAGCACACATTTTTGAGCCAAACGTTTAATAAAGGTTCCATTGCCTTAAAATTTTTTTTTGTAAATTGCTCTCTATACTTGCATTTTCACTATTTGTTTGAAAGTGATAAGATATTGAAAAGGTTTAAGGATTCTTTTAATATTCTGTCAGTATTGCTTTCCTTAAATGTATTACTTAAACCGTTTTGTTAAAATATTAATACAGTTTTACTACCTTTTGACCTGAAGATTCCAACTCTTTTTGTGTGGACTGAGGACTGTTAGCCTTTAAAGATGATGTCAAATTCTGCCAGGAGCCCTGAAAAAAGACATTATCAGCAACACAAAGAAACATTTAATAAGAATTCAACATAGAATACATTTTAAATTTTACTTCATAACCTTTTGATCAAGAAAGGCTGATTTGCATTCCAGCAGTGGAGTCTCCGGCTTTACTGAATGACTTGTGATTGCAGTGTCACTGTCAGACAACACGTCCTGGAGGTGAGCATGTACAAACATTTTTAATAAATATAACCTACAAAGTGATTGCTATTTAAATAAAAAAAGTAAGAAGTTTACCTTTTCAAAGGAAGATGAACATTCATTCCCTTTCGTAGTCACTTCGAGTTACGTCAGAAGTGACGGAGATTGGGGGTTTCGCATAGAAAGCCAATCCTCTTCGAGTATTTAAAAACGAGCCAATGGCATGCAATGCATTGGGGCTGCGGAAATTTGCATAGCGTACTCCGCCCTACTCCGTGAGTATAAAAGGAGGAAGTGAACGCAACCGCAGTATGTTTTCGCTTCGGAGCCAAGAGAACTCTTCACTCCTGAAAGCCATTCTCACTGTTCAAGACTCTTCGAGACGAGCGTCCTCTTCAGTGTTGGTGTGACGGCGGTACCCAGCGAGACTCTGCATTGCCTGCGATCTGAGCAGTGGTCTGCCAGACTTTGCGCTTCTCCCTGGTCGCCTCAGCGCTGAAAGAGTGAATTTCCTCCTCTCTTTAAGTGAAAGAGCTGCACGCGGCACGTCTTTTTAAAGACGACTCGCCCGTGTTCTTCTGGGTGCGTTCGTCTCATGTCATTTTCTGATGGTCGCGATCGCTGCTCTGTGTGTGCCTGGGCTTCAGCATGCAGAGCAGCGTTCGCGGATGTCTCATGTTCCTTCTGAATGGGAACATGAGCATCTCTACACTGTGATCGAGACTCAATGATCTGATAGTGAGAGTCCCCGTGTCCGTTACTCGTTCTGCTTCTTAAAATAGAAGCTGTTCGACTCGCGGATAGGGTGATATGACGGTGAATGTGTGACAAAAAACCCCGACGTTAGTTCCTCGGGTCACACCCACCGCTCAGTGTTAGAGCCAGTGAGCGCTGTATCGCTTCAGACGTCTGCCTCTCTGAGGTACCGTCTGTTTCGCTCGGCGCTCCAGAGAATGATGCGATGACGATCGCAGCATCACAAGGCGGGCTTGACTCCTCGGGAAGTGAGGATGCGGCCGCGTTGCCTCCCTCGGGAGCGTCGGCGTCGCCGTGTCTGATCCCGCGATGATGGCCGGGCTATCTCGGGCCTCCGTGAGCATCGGGTGGGGGTGGAACTCCGCCCTATCCCGATCTCTCGCGGCTGGATAATTGGTTTTTGGGTAACGCTGCCGCCTTACGGCCACTGCCAACCCCAATTTCCTTTTCTTCCCCGAGTTGCATGCGGAACTGACACGCACTAAAAAATAAATAAATAAAAATAAAAAATAAAAAAAAAATTAAAAAAAAGCGTGCTTCAGTTCCCCGCCCTTCCTCCCCTCGGCGATGCGGCTGTCTGTGGGTACGCTGGGGCTCCCCCAGTCAACCGGCGGTTGCTCTCAGATGCCCCTCCAAAGCCTATGGGTTCTCGTCGTCTATGGCGGCGCGATTCTGTAGAGCGGCGGGACAGGCAGCCTCCACCCTGCATATGATGAGCACCTACAAAGCTAGCTGCTCAGGAATGTGCACGAGGAGGGGACGGACCAAGCGAGCTGCGAGCCTGCCGCCTACCTTGCCCTTAAACGGGTCACGGAGGCGGTCGCTCGCTCCCTTGGTCAGGTTATGCCCACCGCTGTGGTCCAGGAGCATCATAATAAGTTCGGCGGTGCGGTCCAGGACTTTGCCCAGCACTTCTCGACCGCCTAGGAGCAGACGAAGGCGGTTTCTCTGCCCCGACGGCTAGCTGCTGCCTCCAACCAGCCGTCGGCTCAGACGCCTCCGCCAGTTCGCCGCCGAGGACGCCCCCCTGCGGCTCCCTTCCCTCCCACGCGGCCCCAGCAGCAGCCTTCAGCCGGTCCGCGTCGCGGAGGAGGCCACAGGTAAGCGTCCTTACACCACTACACCACTCCCCTCCCCCTCTATCGCCAGACACCCGGCAGAACAGACCCCCGTGGAACGCTCTGCCTTCCCTGGTCTCTTCTGTCGGGGAACGGGAATCGACTGTGCATCCGCACAGGGTAACTCCTGTGCGCATGCCGGTCTCCCTGTACCGCTGCCCCTCCGGGGGGACGTCTGTGGTTCGCATGACTCCGCTGGTTCAGTTCCTGGGAGCCCGGCTAGAGCTCCCCGGCCTGTCCCGCTGCGTCATCAGAGCGATCAGATTCGGCTACGCGACTCAGTTCGCGAGGTCTCCTCCCCGCTTTAGGGGAGTTCGCTCCACGGTGGTCGGTGGCTATGCCCCGGTCACGAGAGCGGAGATGCTGCTGGCGAAGGGTGCAATCGAGACGGTCCCTCCAGCCGAGGTGAGGCCCGGGTCTACAGCCCATACTTCACTGTCCCCAGAAGACCGGTGGGTTACGGCCAATCCTGGATCTGCGCATTTTTGAGCCGTACTCTCCTTCGACTGCCGTTCAAAATGCGCACAGCCAAACGCATTTTCGAATGCGTTTGGCTTCAGGATTGGTTTGCAGCAATCGACCTGAAGGACGCGTACTCTCATGTCTCCATATCGCCTCGACACAGACCGCTCTCGGTTTGCCTCGAGGCCAGGCATCAGTACACGGTTCTCCCTTTCGGGTTAGCTCTGTCCCCTCGCGTCTTCACGAAGATCGTCGAGGCAGCCCTTGTTCCCCTTCACGAACACGGGGTTCGCACCCTGATTTATCTCGACGACTGGCTGTTACTGGCACACTCTCGAGAACAGGTTTGCGAACACAGAGACCTGGTGCTCCGGCACCTAGCCCGTCTGGGCCTTCGGGTCAACCGGGGAAAGAGCAAACTTTGCCCCGTGCAGAGGATCTCTTTTCTCGGCATGGAGATAGACTCGGTCGCCATGTCCGCGCAGCTCACGAACGAGCGCGCGCACTCACTGCTGACTTGTCTTCGACAGTTCGAGGGCAAGAGTGCGGTTCCACGGAAACTATTTCAGAGGCTCCTGGGGCATATGGCATACGCGGCCGCGGCAACGCCGCTCGGTTTGCTTCATATGAGACCGCTTCAGCTGTGGCTTCGCGACCGAGTCCCGAGGTGGGCATGGCATCGCGGTTCGCTCCGAGTTCCAGTGACTCCAGCATGCCGCCGAACCTTCTTCCCGTGGTCGAACCTCAGCTTCTTACGGACCGGCGTCCCTATTCAGCGAGTTTCCAGGCATCTCGTTGTCTCCACGGATGCGTCTACCACGGGTTGGGGTGCCATGTGCAATGGGCATGCAGCCGCCGGTTCCTGGACAGGAGCCCAGCGCCTCATGCACATCAGTTGCCTCGAGCTGCTGGCAGTACGGCTCGCCCTGCACCGCTTGTGAGCGTTGCTCATGGGCCAGCACGTGCTTGTCCGCTCAGACAACACTACGGCAGTAGCGTACATCAACCACCAGGGGGGTCTACGCTCACGCCGGTTGTCGCAGCTCGCCCACCACCTCTTGTTATGGAGTCAGAAGCACCTGAGGTCCCTTCGTGCAGTATTCCTGGAGACCGGAACCTGGCAGCCGACGAACTGTCACAGGTCCGCCCTATCTCCGGCGAATGGTGACTCCATCCCCAGTCGGTCCAGCTGATTTGGGACCAGTTCGGGGAGGCACAGATAGATCTGTTCGCCTCTCGGGACTCCCAGTTTTATTCCCTGACCGACGGTTCGCTCGGCACAGATGCACTGGCGCACAGCTGGCCGCGGGGCCCACGCAAGTATGCGTTTCCCCCAGTGAGCCTCCTTGCACGGGTGTTGTGCAAGATCAAGGAGGACGAGGAGCAGGTCTTGCTGGTAGTCCCCTATTGGCCCACCAAGACGTGGTTCTCCGAACTCATGCTCCTCGCGACAGCACCTCCTTGGCCTATTCCTCTGAGACAAGATCTACTCACTCAGAGACGGGGCACTCCGTGGCACCCTCGTCCTGATCCTGGAGGCTACACATGTGGCTCCGGGACGGGACGGGGCAGGTTTGAGTTCGTTGCCACCTGCGGTGGCGGCAACCATCACTTCCGCTAGAGCGTCGTCCACGAGACACCTGTATGCGTTGAAGTGGTACCTCTTCGTCAGCTGGTGCTCTTCTCGCGGAGAAGACCCCCGGAGATGTTCGATCGGAGTCATGCTTTCCTTCCTGCAAGAGGGGTTGGAGCGTAGGCTGTCGCCCTCCACCCTTTGGGTTTATGTCGCGGCCATTGCCGCATCGCATGATGCAGTGAAAGGAAGCATGACCTGGTCATCAGGTTCCTGAGGGGAGCGAGGGGGCTAAATCCGCCTCCCTCCCCTCGTGCCCTCTGGGGACCTCTCAGTAGATCTAAGTACTCTGCAGAGGCCTTCCCTGGAGCCTTTGCAGTCGGTAGAGCTTTGCCCTGTCCTATGTAGACAGCACTCCTGATTGCGTTGGTCTCCATCAGGAGAGTAAGGGACCTGCACGCACTCTCTGTTGACGAAGTGTGCCTGGAGTTCGGGCCGGCTTACTCTCACGTATTCCTGAGACCCCGGCCTGGATATATGCCCAAGGTTCCTACCACTCCCCTCCGGGACCTGGTGGTGAACCTGCAAGCGCTGCCCCTGGAGGAGGCAGACCCAGCCTTGGCACTGCTCTGTCCGGTACGTGCTCTCCGCACCTATGTCGACAGAACGCAGTGTTTCAGGACCTCAGACCAGCTCTTTGTCTCTCATGGGGGGAGCCAGAAGGGAAGGGCTCTCTCAAAGCAACGGCTGTCCCACTGGATAGTGGACGCCATCGCTTTGTCTTACCAGCAGCTAGGCCGGCCGTGCCCCCTTGGTGTGACGGCCCATTCCACTCGGTAGGGAACGGAGACGTTACGTCTCCCTGCCACTTCTGCTGTATCGCTGGGTAGACGCCGAGTTCAGTCTTGGCTCCTCAGCGAAGACATACTGCGGTTGCGTTCACTTCCTCCTTTTATACTCACGGAGTAGGGCGGAGTACGCTATGCAAATTTCCGCAGCCCTAATGCATTGCATGCCATTGGCTCGTTTTTAAATACTCGAAGAGGATTGGCTTTCTATGCGAAACCCCCAATCTCCGTCACTTCTGACGTAACGTCTCCGTTCCCTACTCAGGGAACGAGGGT